CTGTAACCTAATCGAATTTTACTTACGTGAAATGATGTTGACATAATGATATAAAGAAAAGAAAATGTTATTACGGCAAGTATATTGACAAACAATAACTGTGCAATAGACAAAACATTCAAACAACAGACGACGAGCCTAAACATAAACCCGACGAAACAAACAAAGGCCGCGCGGGAAAACGAACCAGGAAGACGACCGTCGCTGGACAATGCGATTTAACCGTGACAGTGTAATCAATCAGTCAATATCTCTTTAATCTCGTCAGCCCCGGTCGTCAAAGGCCGTATATTACATAAGCCAATGTCCAAAAGCATTGTCGCCTCAAATTTTATGTTCAGCCACGTTATCGACGTAGGTTAGGTGCGATAATTTGAGGTAAAGGGTCGATGTAAAGGATTAAACTATTATGGCGACGAAATCATAGCAGCTGAATTATCAGATAACTGCCTCTGTTGATTGTAGAATATTTTTGCCCATCTTCAATAACTTTGTTTACTTGTTTAAAAGTCTTACGTCAAGTAAATTTCATAGATCAATGCACATCCACGTATCGACTTCTGTTTTTTCTCATTATTCTTTACAATTTCTAAACTGCTTGAAAACTACATCAAAATCAATCAATCTGTTGCGCGAGAAATTATTATGAAGGCACGAAAAAATCAAAGGAAGTCGAGATGTTAAGATTTGAAACACGAGTCTGAATGCGCGCGCGCGCGTGCGTGTGTGGGTGTGGTGTGGGTATGAGTGAGTGAGTTAAGGAGGGAGGGTGATAAAGAGAGAGAGAGTGACTGACTGACTGAGTAAGAGAGAGAGAGAGACGGAGGGAGGGAGGGTGAGAGAGAGTGTGTGTGTGTTAGTGAGGGTGAGAGTGTATGTGTATGTATGTGAGGGAGTGTGTGTGTGTGTGTGTGTGTGTGTGTGTGTGTGTGTGTGTATGTGTATGTGTGTGTGTGTGTGTGTGTGTGTGTGTGGTGTGTGTGTATGTGTATGTATGTGTGTGTGTGTGTGTGTGAGGGTATGGGTGTGTGTGTGTATGTATGTATGTATGTATGTATACGCGCGCTCGTGTGTGTGTGTGAAGACTGATAAAAGTTATTCATTTCAAGGCCAAGCATACTGTCCACCCAGCATGCCTACCCCAAGCATGATAACGGAATATAGATCCACCGGACTACGGACAGACACACACAGCCCTAGGTGTCCAATGCGGACTAATGATGATGATAATAACAGGACGATATCAACAACTACTATTACTATTATTACTACTATTACGGTTACTATACGGTTATTATTACGGTTAATTATGTTAATTATACTACTAGTACTGCTACAATTACTACTTTTACTCTGATACTGATAATAACAAAGATGACATTGTTGATTACGATAATAATAATGATAATGATAACAGTGATGATAATAATAATAATAATAACAAGAAGCGAAGAAGAAAAATGAAATCAAGATAAGAATTAATAATAATGACAATATAAATTGCAGTAAGGCCAAGTCATAAAAAATAATGATAACGATCGATCATCATAATGATAATAAGAGTAATGAAAATAACAATAAGAAGAGAAGTAATTATAATGATAATAAGAAATGTAATCATAATAATAATAACAAAAGTAATAACAATAAAAGTAATCATAATAATAATAAAAGTAATCATAATAATAATAAAAGTAATCATAGGCTAATGTAATAATAAATTCATCATCCATCATCAACAACTGTTTTCTTTACATACTGATTCTGAGCTTGAAAGGATGATGCATCATCAAGTCGACAAAAAAAAACTGAAGTATATTCGATAAAGACAGAAAAAACATATAATAAAGTAAGTAATAACCAAAGACAATAAAAAAATACGATAAAGACCCATAAAGAAACCCTGAACAAACCAATACTGATTCTGAGCTTGACCCTGAACGTCTGATCCCAGGATGATGCAAGGGGAACACAAGGAAAAAAGATACAGAGGAAGAGGAAATCACGGTGAGTCGACAGTCTCAACGTATAATTGTAAAAAGGGAAAGACTGAAGTATATTCGATAAAGACAAAGAAAAAAAAAGTAATAAATGAAATGGTGTAAATTCGATATAGATAAAGAAAGAAAAAGTAATAAATGCAATGTGTAAATTAGATAAAGACAAAGAATAGAAAAAATGAATAAGAAATGATAGATTGAAGTATATTCGATAAAGACAAAGAAAAGAAAAAATAAGTAATAAATGAAATGGTGTAAATTCGATAAAGACAAAGAATAGAAAAAATAAATAAGAAATGAAAAATTGAAGTAAATTCGATGAAGACAAAGATAAGAAAAAATAAGTAATAAATGAAATGTTGGTGTAGAATAGAAAAAATGAATAAAAATGAAATGGTGGAATGAAGATAGGATTGCGATGTGCAAATAGCATGAAGAAAAGAAGGATAGGATGGTGATGTAAAAAATCGTTAAGAGACAAAGAAAAAAATGTAAATATT